TGTGTGTGTGTGTGTGTGTGTGTGTGTGTGTGTGTGTGTGTGTGTGTGCGGCTGAGATGCCTTTCTCCACTCGCCCCGGTGCAACATTGTGTCATGGCCGATATTTTCATGAGCTTTACCCGGTTTGGGCGAGTATACATGTGAGTCCACCCTTAGGCAGCTATCCTCCGTTGCGCTCTGTGTCAAGTGTGTCAGTCCTCTGCTTCTTTCCTCTGTTTTGTTTCTCCGGTGCTTTTCATCCCATGACCTTGCTCGCATACTCATCGGATTACTGCGATCATTGTGTTCAGAGTCTTCAGACGGAGTTTTGCAGCACTGCAATGTGAAGGTTCGTTTGCACCCTGAACAAAGGATGATTGCCATGTTTCCGAATTGGTTTCACTGCTTGTATGCAATTGAACTCGTTTTTCAGAGCCATGGATAGATCAGAAGTGGGTATACTGTCTGTATCATCTGCGATAGCCTGATTGCCATTGCGAATTGGCGCTGTCCGTTTCTCCGCTTGTTGCTGTTCTTTTCCCTGCCAGTCTCTTGTGTACACCTCCTTTCATTCTTTCCTTCTCTTTTCTACCTCTTTTCTTCTGTATACCTGTTCGACACTGTGCAGGAACTCGGAAGTCCTATGCACAAACGCATGTGGGAGGAGCTAATCGAGCATGCGAAGACGGTGGTGCTCAATGGGAAGTTTTTTATCTACTGGGCACCAGGATGCAAGGGGCGAGGAGTACTCCTCAACAACATCTATCAGGTGCTCGGATACATCAGCTCTGGTGACATTGTAACTCCTGTTGACAAGCTTCCTGAAGAGGAAAAGGTATGCTGCACATGTGCACAGCTATTGTGTATGCGTTGTCACGTTCGCTATGCGCAACTCCCCAAAAGAGAGCATGATTGTGCTAGACTATTCCATCGTTCTTTGACCGACTCATCAGGAGATTGAACCCCACAGTCGACCCAGGATGCATTTGACTGGTGTGTGTGTGTGTGTGTGTGTGTGTGTGTGTGTGTGTGTGTGTGTGTGTGTGTGTGCGCGCGGCGCTCACGTGTGGTTGTTACACAAGATTTGAATTTAAGCCAAGGGTGCGAGATCATGCCAGACACTTGGGGAATCGGTGTGGGCACGTAGGTGCTGCTAGAGTTGTCAGTCTGACGTGGGTTGTGGCCACCTGGCTGCTCCTTGCCTGTCAGTCAGTTCGGTTCTTCGTTGTGGCGACTGGCCACAATATCGGGAAGGCGGAGGTAGGCTGCAGATATGCTGAATTGAAACAACTGTGCCTTTAGGAGAATGTAGGTTGTGAGACGCACGGAACAGAAACAACCATGTGTTGTTTAGATGGAGTGGATTTGTGCTCGGCTTGTTGTACAACTTTTTGATGTGCTTGATACACCTTGCAGAGAGACATTCTGTGCTATATCATAAAGTGCCTCTTAACTTCTTGCATGCTTATCACAATTGTGTCCAATATATGCATGTTGCTGTTTCGCATGTAAATTAAGTGATATTATGTGTTGTTGGTTGCAGTGCAATAACTCAGCTCAAATCATGCATCTGTCGTGGGCTAAGGGTCGTCATTGTGGCCTAAGGCTGAGAAAGGGGTCAAACGGCCACACCCCAGTCATGAACACAGCCTGATCGAAGGCCTGCTATTGTAGGGTACCCGAAACAAGGCCTAAAACCGACCTTCAGAGGCCCAACGTGCGACAGTTGACCATGGAAAGTCAAAGGTCAACAGCAGCTCTGAAATTCAGGCTCACGAGTAAGTCAACATGGGCCCAGTCCAGGCCGCCGATCAAACACACACACTTGCCTGTTTGCAGGTATATGTCAAGGATCAAGTCCAAGTGGGAATATGTAACTGTAAAGATCCCGGCCATTGGCTGCGAGACAATCTGGGCCATCGTGCCTGAGAGACCAGAGGCTGGTCAACTGGAGTCAACATTACATATTGACTCAGCCCCTGCTGACCGACATTCAGTCTTGCACTTGCTGCTTGACGCTGGCTTGACGCTGGCTCTACGCTGGCTCTACGCTGGCTTGACATTGACGACGACGTGAGACTGCTGAAGCTCTGGGCTGGCGCCTTCTGTGTCTGTGGCGCCAGCTGGATACTTGACATTGCTGACTTGGCTCTTGCCACACTGTCTACCAGATTGACGGGACACCGGCGAGGAGGAGGATGATCAGGGCTGTGAGATTGTGGAAAGCTTACCTGTCTGCGTTCGTGATCGATATTGCGCAATTGCTGATTCGTCTTCAGATGTTGTGTGCGCTGTACAGGCGCCACGTGGAGGTCTGTTCATTGTCAGAGTGTGTCAGAGGAGACTGTCTGCTGACGTGGAAGTTGGAGATGCCGGAAGGAGGAGTGGGCTTGTGAGGGAGATCTATCTGCTACACTGATGGACACTTTCTCCTCCACCCTAAAGTCTTATCTCCCTCCTATCAGCCTCTTCTCTAGTGACATGACATTGGGCTACTTGATTACTTGTACAATTATTGGAGACATTGTATCTGCGCTGAGATATACTGCTTCTCGACATGGACGAGCTTTCTATTTGCCTGGGTTCTATTGGTATCGGAGCAATATCCTCCATCCGTCGCCGTCTGATGAAGTAGAGGTATTGCGTGGCGGTATTGCAACCGCATGCTCGCACACGCGCTCCGCACGCCTTGGGGGAATATCGTGTTTATGAACGCACGCGTACCTGGTTGATTATCTCGCAATTATTTGCGCTCGCCTGTTTGGTTATTAGGTGCCTGATCGATTCGCGCATCGGATCTGATTCGTGCATGCGCACGAATCTGAATCTGAATCTGAATCTGATGATGATGATGATGATGATGATGACGGCATGATGATGACGTGGACCTGATATGCGTTGGCGGGAACACTGACATGGCGTTGGGCAATTGGCGAGATTGAGAGTGGGAGCTGCTTACCTGGCATCGGGGAATCACCGCTGACGTGGCATGACGAGCAGGTGCTGATGTGGCACCTAAGAAGAAGCAGCAGGTTAGAGTCTGACGTGGTACTTACCAGTGTCCGACTTACCTGTTGACGTGGCATCTTCGACGAAGCAGCAGCGCACCAGGTTGACGTGGCATCTTGAAGTTGGCAACCAAGTGATCACATATGTGGCAACGAAGTGTCTCCATTCACGACGGCCTACTGGCCATTGATGCTGATGTGGCACCTCTCTTGATTATGTGTCATTTTGGCTCGTTTGAGGAGTGACATGTGGCAGATCTACGCTGCCATCCGTTGAAGACTGGTGGGAACAGATACTTGCACTTGTGTGTCTGACGGGTGGTACAGCACTAGATTATGCGGTAGTGGCATGCCTCAGAACTTGTGCCTGGTCATACAGACATCTGTGTGAGGACCGCGGGAAGAAGTTCAGCTCACACATTGTTGATTGTCATGTGCTGCTGTGTTGTTGATAGTCACTTGTCATGGACTGTTTCGTGGATGTTTGCAAACTCACCATTGTGATGTTGTCTTGATCACATTGGTTGTGGTTGTGGAACCTGTGCACATACTTAGGAAATAATCATCAGAAGATTAATCAGCAGGAATTAGACAAAGAAGATTAGATTCTGTTTCCTAGTGAAATTTATTTATTTTAAATTATTTATTTATTTGCTTCAATTTCTTGCCGTACGAAATTGCATTTTGAATTTCTGATCCAGTGTGGCCATGCAATTAATAATTGTCGTTTAAAGTTTATTGTGCGGTAGATGCACACTGGGTAAAATGGCATACCTCTAGAACTGTTTGCGTACGTCCATCCTTACTCGATTTATTCCTCCTCTTCGCCCAATCTCTGTCATATTCATCGCCAGAAGGTGGAGAACTGCGAACCCGTGGCCAAGTTGAAGGAAGCCGGCAGCTGATGCTGGGCCATCTCCACCAATTGCTCACTGAAATGCACGACGCTGGACCCGATGCTGAGCGACATGTCGGCAGCCAGTTCGATCTGCGTGCTGCAGAGGACGAACTTTCAAGGACTGAAACTGCCTTTCAGATGCTGGAGGTCAGTGGTAAAGTGCAACAGATAATTGATCGGGGACGAATGGCCCTCGATCAATTTGTTGATGAGCAACTGGCGAAGATTGCCGGTGATGTGACCAAAGAAGAAGAGAAAGGAGAAGGAAGTGAGAAGAGGGAAGAACCCCAACTGACGAAGGAAATAATGGATGACATGATCAGACAATCGCAAGTTGCGTTAAACACAAAATTGAAGAAGAAAAAAGAATACCAGAGGCAGAAAAAAGAACAAGAACAACAGGCGAGAAAGATGGAAGAAATAAAACAGAAATTTCACAGAGGAATCAGATACTGATCTGGTGTCCGTTTTGCAAAACATGATGACCTATGTTGCACATCTGGAACTGAAGATTGACCACGTCAGGAATTGCAAACGGTGATGAGACTTGTAAAAGGGAAGAACGAGGTTGTGCAAGAACAGGTGGCCGAAGTAAAAGAAAAGGAAGAGCCTCAGAAGAAATTAATGCAAGATGCCATGAAACCCCGAGAGCTGAAAGAACCGGAACCTACCAAGAAAGAAGCCCAAAAAAAGGAAGAAGAGGAAAGACTGAAAAAAAGAGAAAAAGTGAAAATGAAGTTGCCTTTCATTTATAAAAGTAAAAAAGGGGAGCACTTGTTATTGTGGATTACTGAGATCCAGACGTATTGTGGGACCACTCTGGCGGCGGAGGACAGTCAAGTTACCTTCTTCACCTCGTGTCTGGGAGAAGTTGCAAAGGAGTGGGTATTGTCTGAGGCCAACGCCGCTGGCTTCGAGGATATAGGCGAGTGGGCGAAAACCATTACTTCGCGGGAATTCCTCTATAAAATTAAGGAGCGATTCCTCGACAAAACGACTGTCGATAAGGCATTTGACGAACTCGCCACGATTAGCCAGAAACGTTGGACCACTGTTGATGCTTTGTCGCATGAAGTTGATCGTATCTTGTAGGCACCTGGACAACCTCCAAGACAACCAGGTTTTATATATCTACTCACGTGCACTCCCCGAGCCCATGCGCGGACAGCTTGTGGCAAAGTCAAAGTCTGGGAAGTACTACTGCCGGCAATTCTGAGATCTTGCTTTCCAGAGAGAACAAATGACAACGCAGGTAAAGGGAACCTACACAGCCATGGTAAAGGGTGGACAGTCGAGAGGGTACTAGAATGGGAAAAAAGTCTTGTGGAGGCAGAAGCGACATGACCTCACTCTCATTGTCGTTGACGACGGGATGCATCTGCTCCTACTGAGTTGGAGGGTTCAGACAAAGGTAAGGCGCCTTTCAACCCCCCGACTCGCAAGGCAGAGGATGACTCTTCTTCGGTCCGTCGCCCTAAGGAAGAAAAAATAATATTGCATGAAGTAATATTACATGAAGTAACCTTTCTCGTAGAAAAGAATCTGCCTTTTGATATGATTATGGGAATGGATTGGCACGAGGAGGCCGACCCATGAGTCAAGTTCAAAGACAAGATTGTTAAGTTTAAGGATGGAAAATCCAAAATGAAACTGTTTCACAAGTCTAGTTTTGGCTCATCATTGACTTTCTATTGTATGAGTCTATCTGCCTTTCGAAGTACGGTTGCGAAGAAGTTGGCATATGATGTAATGATGGTACTCGTCAAATGAGTACCTATCCACCTTCTGTTGATAAACTAATCCATGAATATAAGGACGTGCAGACTGAACCTACAGGAGTAACTGACCGTATTATAAAGCACACCATTGGAATCATTCCCGGAGGTAAAATTCCTAAAGGACTAATTTGTCGAATGTCCCCAAGGGAAT